TCACTCATCTTGGTTTGTACTTTCAAAGAATACTTACCTGAGCACCGCTGAGCGGAGGGAAGGGCACGAGAAGGGGAGGTTAGTGAGGACCACAGTGGCAACAAAGTAGAGCAGTGCAGTCATTGAACAAAAGTGCGAAAGAGTGCTGGATGGATATGCCTCGTTTGACAGCTGTGCCCTTTCCGATGCATCGTCATAAAAAAAGTATTCTTTCGAACTTCATCTCATCTTCGTAATTGTACATCCGCTGTCTGTGGGATCTGTGTCAAGACTTCTATTCCCGGTGAAGATTCCCCGGAACTGCTACCCTTCTCGAGAAGCCCACTTCCCGGCTTACTGTGCGATGGCTGCCCCAGTGGATCACTCAGTTCCCCATGAAAACTATACACTGATCGAAAATTTTATTGCAAAATTAAAGAAGAAAATGCGTGATATTACTAGAAGTGAGACTAAATACTAATACCAAGAGTATCAAGATCGCTCAAGCAACCAGCACCGGGTATCCCAAACTGCTATTACAAGCTATTTCAACTTGCTGAAAAGCAGTGAATATTTTTCGATGGAAGGGGATCAGCCATCTCTTGCCCATACTTTGAACTTCCTTGCTCAATTCGTGAATTTTCGAGTCAGGGTCAAGTGCTCGATCTTCAACGTACAGTGAACTGTAGCTGATCAAATTGAAGTACCAATAGGGCCATATGAAGTTTATAAATTAGCCTTATTGCACTGGCAAGTAAAATTAATTTGCTATTTATTTGAACTGTACAAAAGGCACTGAAAAATAATACTCAGGTACAGATGCATGAAAAAAAAAAATGTCTCTGTTGAACGGGAACAAGTACGGCGGGCAGAATTCGTCTCATTCTTGTTCAAGTTCGATCAACACACCGCCACAATCTTTTGGATGAAGGAACATCACCGGTTTCCCGTGCGCTCCAATTCTGGCCTCTTTGGATAATGTCCGGATTCCCTGTTTTTTTACTTCTTCAACAGCCTGGAATATCCGAGGCGCTGCATGAATCCTCTTGGATTTCAACGCTGTAAATCCCTTGCTTCTGTTAAAATTTCAGTTCGCCCTGTACCCCGGGTCATCGTTTGGATGTTATTCAAAGACTAGCAGTTGTAGCAGTTGTTATTGTAGGAACGCGGTAAAAGTGTCAGATCATTTTCATGATAATCCTATAGGCAATGTTTCATAATCTTAGACGTTATTTTCATATTTTGATCAGTTACAATTTAAAACTGGCTCTCCACAAGATGCAGCTGACAGCTGCCCACTTGCTTTGACCAATGCTGTGTTGCCTGGTGGTCAGTCTACTGGCAATTCTGAACATTTTGTCTCCTGAAGGGATAATTAGTCCAGCGGTTTTACGTGCAAAAGCACTTGGCAAGGCTTTAGCTGTTTCGAGCAGTTGTTGTTCATGGATTTGGGCTTCACCATCTCGTCCTGAACGATACACTCCCAGATCTCAGTGAAGTACTCCACCGCTTTGGAATTGTGTCGTATGTGAGATTTTTAGGTTTAAATGTTCAAAATTAATGGATTTCTAGATCAGAGTTGTTCCAGGATAGTCCTGAATGAGATTTGTTGTGTTTCCCCACGACCTAAATCTCTACCCTTCAACCAATGATAATAGTCTTGTTTGGAATTTCTTGTAAAATTTACGATACACAAGATGATAATTATCGTCCAAAAAAATTTTAGGTATTTTTCTTGCGAAACAATTCCCTGTAAGTAAATTTCAGCTTCAGTTCAGCAAGAACAAGCCAGGAAGGTTTCAGGTTCTCACTTCGGGAAATTTTGCCCCTCTTATGCAAATTTAGGCTTTTAAAACATCATCTGCATCCTAATTAGAAGCGATTCTGTATGATTACCTGATTGATATCCTTCACTTCGATGCAGATGTGATGCATGCCGCCCATTTTATTTTTCTCCAGAAATCCCTGGATTGGACTCTTCTCTCCTAATGGATACAACAGTTCCAATTTTGTATTTGGCAATTCGACGAATACTGTATAAACGCCGTGTTCTTCCTGTGGCTGAAATTTCTTGTATAAACTCACGATTTAGCAAATTACTTTCCTGAACTAGTGCTTGATTTGAGTTCTACCCCTACAGTACTCCTGGCAGAAACACCTGTTAAAGTTTTGTCTGCTGAGGGCAAATGCGTTGGCAAGGCTTAGCCAATGAAAATGAAGCTGATCAGACACAAAAAAAATAAATTCTTGCCCATAATGTATAGCCTGGCCTATTTGGCTTTTTTCGCAAGTTTTGACAAATCGTCAAAAAGGAAAATTTGTTTCTGTCAAGGAATGGAACAGAAGTACCATTGTGGATATATTTAGAACTTACCACTTTCTCGCTAACTTTAGCGCCCAGGTTTTTGTAGAAAGCTGAAGCTTTGTCGAGATCGGGAGTAGCAATAGCAACATGGTTCAAACGACCAAGACCTGCCAGTGAAGCAGCATTCTGAAAGTACATCATTTGGGTTGGCTTTTCGTGTGTTTCCTCGGCTTATAAATACGCTAAAAACTTTCTAACTTCTCATGCCCTGGACATCATATGATCCATTACACTTTACACGACGGTGTTTCTCACAGCTGACGTAACGTATTTGAATTTATAAGACTTCTGCATATATATTAATGTTATTAAAAAACA